AAGAGAGAGAATTTTAAAATCATACCTAATCAGTTTTCAGGTAATTACACCATAAAATCACATAAATCACGATGATCATAAAACACTAATTGGTTTCCGGTTCGGCGCCGCGATAAGGCCTTCAATTAGTAGTTCAAACATAAAAACACAAACAGATAATCAAACGATCAAACGGATAGACATACAATTGAACAGATGTACTCAGTCAATTCAGTTTCAATTTCAGTCAGTTAGTTCAGTAGTTTATTCAATTCACTTATCAGTCATAATCAGTTCAGTTTAACGGTAATCAGTAGTTTATCGGTAAACAGTAGCGAGGGTTGTTACACCAAATATACTTCCGACCGGTCATTTATTATTTGCCGATGGACTTAAAAATGGTTGATAACCATCCGAACATGGCCGGTGAAAATTCCACTTGGTCGGTGATGCTCCCCAGTGTCCAGAGAATTCACCTTGGGAGTTGCATAATTTTCGGAGGAGCAAGGCAGCATAAACAGAGACAACAGTGGCATAGTACGGATTTTTAGGCAAGACGAGTCAAGCATGCATCATCCATGCATTTCGAGGCAGGGACTGTGGCCACTTTAATTCTTTGTTTAAATTGTTAATTAATTGGAACTTCTGTAATAATTAATTTAGCATTATTCATTCGGACTGTAATATTTACTCGGACCCTCCGAGTGAGGGCAATGGTGTAATAAGTGTACGTGAGTGTGTGTATGTCTTCCAACCCCACGTCTTTCTTCCCTTTTATTTACCCGCTTATGATGGTAGACTAGGGCATATTTAAATTAGCATACCTTATGCATGCATGCGTGCTCATCTATCATTAGTCTTGCATGCACCGGGCTCGGCACATCATGCTAACTGCATTGTGTTTCAAATTCCAAATTGAATACATGTTAGTTGCAGCATTTCACATGCCATGTTTAGAATAGCCGAGCCCATTTCTAGTTGCATTTCGCATGTGTTGCATTAGCCATCTTAAACTAGGATCATACATATGATTACTAACTAGTTTCTGTTTTGGCTCGGAGTACTCGGTAAGCATTTATGCTTTAGCATGCCGCATGCGTGCGAGTGTTGCCATAACAGCATGATTACCACGAGGCTAGCTGCTTATGTGATATAACTGCTTGAATGCCTGTGGATGGAGTTTGAATTACCTAAATTGGAATAATGCATTAAATTGTGAGTTTTAAGCCCACTAGATAGTGGCAAAACCATATTTTCTAAAGCCCACTTGAGGGTGGCAAAACCTGCATTTTAGCCTACTTGCGAGTAGCAAACCATCTTCAAAACGAACATGTAGTGTTTTGTTCCAATTTAGGCGATTTGGTCTATACTTGTTTGCTGTGCGCATAAACATTGATAAATTTAATATAATGCATCTTTAATGTGATGTTTGGAGAAAGAGTTTATAGTCAAATTCCCTATATAAATATACAATATACATACATATATAAGAAATAAATAATAAGAAATTTTTTTATGAGTAGGATCGTAATCACTTTAAGATTCTACTGAATTAAAGATCCTAGTGTTATCCGAATTGGTCAAGATTCTGATAACAATGTTCATACCTATTTTAATCTCGCATTTGATTGCAAGAAAAGGAGGAGATGCGGAAGTGGGGAAACATGCTAATCACACACTTATTTTAATCCAACGTTTGTTTTACTTTGTAATATCATAGGTATTGTGTGTGGCAGTGGGGATATTAAACTTCTTTTTATCTCATCATAATCAAATATAATAT